TTAAGTGATTAAATGAAATATAAAGGGTTACTATTACTATTTCTACCAGAATAATCATGTAAAATAATAATTATGGTAGTTTTTATTACCAAAATTTACACTGTCATTAGTTTTATATTTCATTTAATCACTTAATAATTTTGCTACAAAAGTTAGTTTATATAGGAAATAGATACTTTCCCAATTGGTAAACAACATTTTCTCATTTTTATTTCGATATTCCGGAGTTGTAACAAATTAGTGCGATAGATAATGCTTCCTATAATTATAACAACATAATTAAATAACTTTTCATCTGGTCTTTATAAGAAACACAAAAAAGAAAGCTATTATTGTTTTTCGCAAAAGGGTTGTCTTAGAAATGTAAATATGTTTTTCTTCTTTTTATTATAATTTCTGTTACCCTCATAAATATTTTCAATCGTTAGATAGTTGTATGTATAATTAATAATGTTTTATTAAGTTAATTCACTAATTAGTATAACTCTTATCAAAAAATTTTGTTTTGTATCACAAGAGCTCATTCAGACAAGACGGTTGGCGCGATAAGTAGGTAACAGTCCCAATGTTATTTTGTCTGCGACTGTCAGTTGTCTGCTCTCTAAAGCCAATGAGATGCAGGTAGAGTTTATATCGAAAGTCGTCGAATGCTCGAGCGACAACCGCTTGCTAAACCGCGAGGTGCGAATCGCCTAGTGTGGACGACCATTAAAGGCTCTTTTAGAATCGCGTTTCAGATGCAGATGGCAGACTTGTGCGTTTTTCACTCACAACTCCTGCTACTCAGGTTGAATTTTCCACATTCCTGCTACACTTCAGGTGGTGGGGAATGCTGGTGAAAATGCGTACAACCATGTAGCGCCTGGATCCTTTGCGCATTGTATTCATGGGAACATCGAATTTACGACAGTTTTCGTAATTTTCTTGACGGTACATGACCGCTGTGTTGGGTACTGCATGGTATGTCGTTTTCGTTCTAAGCACTTGCATGTATGATACTTGTATACAGGAAAATTACGAGTGTTATAAAAGAGAACAAGGGGCTTTGTTACTTTTTGTTTTTATTAGGCCCAATTGTCTTTCAAGGATATTAATAGGTTGGTAAGTGGCAAAAAGCGTGCAGCTATTTGCGGTTGATGGAATTCGCGATTTTTTTATTTGTTATCTGCAACATTCTGTTTAATGACAATAGTATTTGTGGATAATTCAAATTCGTTTGTTCGTACTGATGAATCAACAGTCACAATAGAAATAACCAATTTAGATCATTAATTAATTGATGGCATTTTGAACATATCCAGTTATATTTCTTTATTATTTCTTACAATGACATAAAACTTTTCTTTTTCTTAAATAAATTTGCATAATATTGCTAGTGTATATATTTCTCGTAGGTTTTATTATTCCTATTCTTTCACATTGTGGTATTTTCACGTTTTGGTCATAGACAAAAACTTTATTAAAAAAATTATGGAACCGTCGGGTTCGTTTTATTATAAATTATTGATAAGCATCACCCGGACTGGAAATAAATAAATAAATAATGAAATAATTAAATGAGCATAGGCTATTTTTGTTAACATGCAATTCAAGTTGTTCTAATTTTCATAATCATTTTCACAAAAAATAAAAATAATTTTCATAATTGTGGAAAATGTTGGTCACTGTGATTGTGGAGGTTTCTAGCGATCGTGATCTATCCTTAAGAATGTTTGGGAGGTATGTCAAAATGCTATGAGACAAATAAAAATTTGGAAGAACGTTCCTCATTCAATTCTAAAACTCCTGTAAAAATTACAAATCGATTCACTAAACCGTTAAAAAGTTATTGAAATTTTAAAAAATTGTAATTTTACACGTCATTTTATG